AGTTAAACAGTACATAAAGTCCACAAATGCCAGCTTTTATCCCAATATGTCTTTGTCTCCCCCTATTGTCTTCTTCACTATGTTCAAGGCTTTAGAGAGATGTAAAATAATTTCAAAGTCCTCAGCTGGATAATGTTCATCTGAATTTCACATATTAAAAGCATTCAGAATCATGCTGAGTGTGCTGCATCCCCAACTCCTACGCAAGACATTTCCAAATTCACGCTATGAACCCATCTTCAGACAGTGAATCATTTTCATTATCACAGACGACGGGAAATGTAATTCACTTCACCCATCCCTTATAAAATTTAATAATGAAGATTGAAGTGTTGGCAAAGACTGAGGAGTGTGCCAGTTTTTGTTTCAGTATGTTGCTGTTTGAACTGTCAGCAGCACCCAAGTGGGTATTCTGGTTTAGCCCTCCAACACTGAACAAGCGTTTAATAGGTTCTTGACCTTAGCAATTACTGAGAAGGACTGGAGCGAATGAGGGTTTTAGGACCTATCGACCTAAAGAACTATATAGTAATAGGATTGGCCAACCATTACACTGTAGCTTTTACAGGAATCCCCCTCATCTAAATGCTCTGATCAGCTTTTCCCTGGTGTGTGGTCTGACCAAAGAACCAAATAGTCCACACAGAAATTAACGTCCTTCTATATCTTTCCTGCTCTGAGACTCTTGCTTTACACAGGAAATGTAGACATTAAATGATGCAACACAACACAGATCCCACGCAGACGAATGACTTTACATCAGAAAGACTGAAAATCAAAACAACTGGTGAAATGCTATGCCTTTGGTCAGGGTCCAGACCTTAATCTGATAGAAATGTTGAGGCAGAACCATGAAGAGCCGAGAAGAAGCAAATATCTGCACAAGTCGATGAAGGGAAGCAAAACTGTAAAGTAGAATGGATCAAAATTCCTCCATAATAATGAGACGTCGATAAAATCATACGGAGGATTAATTCCACTGTGTCGGCTTTGCTTTCCCTGTGCGTGTGCGGTATGAGACGTGGCTTTCAACTCCTTCCAGAAGAGGGAGAGCCTGGGTGGGATCTATATGAATTCAAATTAAAAAATCTCCTCCTCCTCTCCTTGATCACATCTTTAAGACCAGGGACGTGTATTGGTGAAATTCTGGCGATACGATACGTATCACAATACAGGGGAGATGATACTATATATCAGCAGTAGTAGTAGGGGCAGCAGTAGCTCAGGAAGTGGAGCGGGTTGCCCCATGATCGAAGGGTCATGGGTTTGATTCCAGCTCCCGCCAGGGGTATTCTGCTGTTGTGTCCTAGGGCAAGACATTTAAACCAACTTGCCTGTGTTGGTGGTGGTCAGAGGGGCCGACGGCTCCAAATGTCAGCCTCACCTCTGTCAGACCGCCCCAGGGCGGCTGTGGCTACAAAGTAGATTACCATCACTAGCAGTGTGTGAATGTGAGAGTGTGTGAAAGCATCTTTGAGTGTCCTTAAAAGCGCTATAAAAGTTCAATACATTAATATTATTACCACAATATATTACTATACATTCAGTCAGACAGTATTAGCGATTATATTTAGACTGAATTTATTGTAGGAAAACACAATAAATAGTCCAAATTGAGACTTAACATGTTTAAAATGAGGTATCTGAACCATAACAGAGGGATTTACAATTCAGTGGTGGAAACAAAACCCATTGTACACTGCTGCCAACTAGTGGTTAGCGTTTGATTTGCACCAAAAGAAAAGAAAATACACAAAGGTTTGCATGTAAATTTTTCCAAAAATTAGATAACACGGCTTTTGACTATTGATATAATATCGCTGGAAGAAATATCACAATATATTGCCATATCGATATTTTCTTACATCTCTATTTAAGACGTGATAATGAAATTCCTGCTGCTGCTGCTTTGGGCTCTGACTGGAGGGGCTGGGATCTCCATGCCCCGAGTGGATATTGGGAACGGGGGTGCCTATTGGGGCCAGTGAGGGGGCTGGCTCCCTAGAGGGCTAAGGCCCTCCAGTTATTTCTCCCCATCCTCAGAAATGTTCCTCCTCCTGCTCCTGCTCCTTCACATCACCACACAAACATGCACATAGGGCCTTGGGGTGTGAATAAGTCAGGGAGTGCGAGTATGGTTCCCATTTCTGCAGTCCCATGGCAGCCGACACCCCAGTTTTATTCACACATTAAACACCTCCACCAATGACATTCCACGCAAATGGAGACTTAGGGCCTTGGGGGTGAGCACACTCAATGGCACCTGGCAGGGGAATCTTTCAGCCTCACCTCGGGTGTCGGTGCCCACTTCCAATTTTAATTTGCACCTACACACTGAGGGTTCTGGGGGAGGAACTGTGGTTGTGTGCTGGCTCCAGCTGGTGTAGCTCAATGATGCCTGCACTATGAATTTTTACTGTGTGTTTTACTTTAACAATTTTCGACCGGTATCCAACTTACCAATTTTAAGCAAAATTTTAGAGAAGCTTGTTTTAATACAACTTAATGCTTTTATCAACCACCAACATGTCCTAGAGAAATTTCAGTCTGGTTTTAGGGTGAACCACAGCACTGAGACGGCCCTTCTGAAGATTTTAAATGATTTTAGAACAAATTATGATGCTCGGAGGGCAACAGTGTTGGTTCTGCTGGATCTAAGTGCTGCCTTTGATACAGTAGACCACACTATTCTTTTAACCCGTTTAAAACAGATCGGCCTCTCTGGTGCTGTTCACAGTTGGTTCACTTCCTATCTCACAGACAGGACTTTTATGGTGAGTTTGGATACCTGTTCCTCTGGGGTCCACAGCATCACATGCGGTGTGCCTCAGGGTTCAATTCTAGGCCCAGTGCTTTTTAACCTCTATATACTCCCTCTGGGCAGCGTCATCAGGAGACATGGGGTGAATTTCCACAGTTACGCTGACGATACACAGTTGTACATCTCTGTGTCTCCTGATGACGCGCAGCCAAACACTTTTTAACTGCATTTTAGATATTAAATCATGGATGACTGAAAACTTTTTCCAGCTCAACCAAGGCAAAACTGAAGTTTTAGTCATCGGTCCTGAGGCCCAGAGAGAGAAACTTTTACCTAAACTACAATCAATGTCTTTTTATCCATCACTACAAGTGAAGAATCTGGGTGTTATTTTCGACTCTGAGCTGACTTTTATTCCCCACATTAAAAACATCACAAAATAGGTTTTTACCATCTTAAGAATATCGCCATTCTCTCTCGGGCCAATACGGAGACGCTGATGCATGCTTTTATAACCAGTAGAATTGATTACTGCAATGCCCTGCTTTCTGGTCTTCCCAAAAAGAGCATCTCAGGTTTACAACTTTTACAAAACTCAGCAGCACGTGTCCTGATGAAGACCAGGAAGCGGGAGCACATCACTCCGGTTTTGAGATCACTACACTGGCTCCTCGTATGTTTCAGGATCAATTTTAAGATTCTTTTAATGGTTTTTAAGTGTCTTAATGGTCTTGGGCCTTCTTATCTTTCAGAAATGCTTTTACTATATAAACCCCCACGATCTCTGCGCTCCTCTGGCAGCCATCTCCTAGTTATCCCTGAAGTTAAGACTCACACCCACGGCGAGGCGTCCTTCAAGTACTACGGCCCTCGCCTTTGGAACGGGCTGCCGGTGGACCTCAGGGCTGAAGGGAACGTCCAGGCTTTTAAGAATAGGCTCAAGACCCACCTTTTTAGCTTAGCTTTTAACTGATCACTATTTATCTAGTCTGTTTAACTGAATCGTCTGTCATATTTGTTTATATATATATATATATATATATATATATATATATATATATACATATTTATCTCTTTTAATGAATTTTATCATTTTATTTACATCTTAGTGTTTTTACATGATTATGTTTTCTTTTACTATCTTTATAATCACTTTTTATCAGTTAGTTTTTATCTATATTAGCTTTTGTTATTTTACAGTTATATATTTTAATCCTCCAGTGTTTCCTCTGCAGAGCCCTCTGCCTTGGGGCCGGTGGTCAGCGGCGGCGGCCGGGGCGCTCCTCGGGTAGTGCCCGGGCAGTGGTGGGGGTTTCCGCCCTCCCCCCCGGGCGTCATGGGCCGGTGTCTTGGCTGCTGCCATGGATCTGTTGCTGTCAGGGCATCAGGGCTGATGAGGTGTCGTTCATTACCTGACCCATCTGAACTCAGCCTATTGTTTCCTCTGTTGTTCGTGTGTGTGTGTGTGTGTGTGTGTGTGTGTGTGTGTGTGTGTGTGTGTGTGTGTGTGTGTGTGTGTGTGTGTGTGTGAGTGTGCGGGTGATTGTATGTCCACCTTGGAAGTTGGGTGCAGGGGGGGAACCGTAATTGTCAATTGTTTTATACTTGGGGAGGGGGCTGGGATGGGAATATGGGATCTATGGGGCCATTTTAATCTGTGAAGCACTTTGAGTTGCATTTTTTTGTATGAAAAGTGCTATATAAATAAAGTTGATTTGATTTGATTTCAGTAAAAATTGTTACTGTTATATATCCTCATGTTGCGGGCGCAGTGATATTTTGGTTTTGTTGTATATTTGTGTATCCCCTTTTCTCTCTTTCTGAAGGTCTAGAAGCAGATTCTTGTTCATCATTTATAAGTTATTTGTTTGGTGAACTCCCTCCTTATCTCTCCCCCTTTCTCTTTCTAATAAGTTTTGGTATCAGGCGTGGCCTTATAGCAGAAGCTATAATGCTCCCACATTTGAGAGAAAACCTGTAAGGCATTCAGACATCAATTCTGAAAGCTTCACAGCCAGACAGGACATGGTAAAAAAAAAAACAACAAAAAAACATATTTATCTGTCCTTTAAAAGAGAAATGAAACAAAGGGGTTGCAGAAGGTCTCAGAAACCAACGAGACAACCACAGAAATACACATGTAACGTCGACACGCATCCTTTGCAGCATGCACGACTCACTGAAATGTGGTTAACATGTGAAAAACAAAACAAATGAGTGCTACCAAAACCAGACTTACAGGGATCATCCAGTTAGCCAGATCTCCGTGTTTCGACACCTGCATGGCTCCCAGCATCGTCAGGTTGATGTGACCCCTTACGAGAATGACACAGCAGAAGATGACAGAAGTCAACTTTCAGATCAGTTAAACTTATGAACTCAAGATCATTCATCAAGTTTAGTGACAGTGTTGGTACACCTTTTTTACTAAATGACTTTAAAACACCCTTATGCTTGATAACTAGTGATAATCTTAGCTAAATCAACTACCGCGTGTTGTTGGTAGAAATGCTTACTATAACATATAAAATACTTTGCATGCTTTCTTTGATTAGTGGAGGAATCCACATTTAATATCTGGCATTAGAAAAATAGGTACTTTTCTGGGAGCTAGCAGTTCATTTCATCCACTATTGTATTGTTTACCAGCATGCTGTTGTGGTCAGGTACATGGCTCTGACTGCAAATAAGTGAGCAAGCAGGCTTTATTGATTGCACAAACCACTTAAAAACCCGGCTTCACTGAACCAATAGAAAAAGAAATAAGAATTGGCAGCAGACCTTTGCAAAATTCGGTGCATTAGCGAGTCGTATTAACTGTGCAAACTAAAGAACTTGTTTAAAGGTAGAATTGTGTGCAGATAATCCATTCAGTCTAACACACACACACGCATGCACGCACACACAGACACACACACACTACAGCTGTGTCTGCATTCTTACTGTGCACACAGACTGAATAAATACATAATCATGTGGAGGAGGAAGGGTTGTTTGCTTAGTTATTTATTTATTTGCAACAATGGCGCTGCCAACTTACCACTATTGTTTAGATTTAGCAGCTTTCCTTTACAAAATGCACCTCGCAAAAATATTCTAATCAACCATTTCAACAAGGCTTATTATCATTTGATTATTTACGTAGAAAGAAGCTGTCACACTGCCACTTTCCACAGAACGCCTAAATCTACGGGACAATCCGCATCCAAATATTGATAAAATAAGACTAAAACTGCTAAAGAAATAATAAAAATCATACAATAAACTTGATGAGTAACTGTCATTTTTACCTTCAGGTGCTTAAAAGGTAAATGGCCTGTATTTGATAGAAGGTGACAAATGTGTCTGAGCTGCAATGACTCAATCAACTTATGTGATCATTATATTTAAAATATAGGTAATTATAAGCTACTGGAGAAATATTAGTGGTAACAATGTACTTTTAAAAAAAATTAATTTCTTAGCATGTCAAGGCTTTTAATTGTGTTGGCACAACGGCAGACAAACTTGGCCAAAAAAATCAGCACGGTTCCATTTAGTGTCTGCCAGTGTGACTGGACAGCTTTGTTTATGACCACTATTGAATTTCTACTGGGTGGACAAACAAAACTAATGTTGCAGGGAGCACGAGTGGGCAATATCAGTCACCATGCAAATCAATAAAAATAAGGCACCAGAAGTATATTGACATGGCTGCTGTCTGCTTGTACTGGTGACAGCAGCCATTTGTTAATATCCCATGTTGCACATCCTAAGTGGTCAAGTCCTGATGGTGGGTTGGAAGTGGCTTAATAAGGATAAAGAAATCTATTTAGAGGGGAATGAGTACCCATTTTTTTGTTGTTTTTGTGCATTTCGTGGAAGTGACTCGTTGATTTATAAATTAAAAATTAAAAAAATTCTTGAAGGAATGCACATTATCCACCACCTTTCATGCCACAGTTTTGAACTAAGATTTTACATTGACAAAAGACGCGAGAGCCATTTGGAATAATCGTACATGTGGGAAGTCCCCGCGGGCTGATTCTACCCGCCAATGGGAGGCTCCCTCCAATGGTAAGCATGCTTTTGAACCAGCCAATCAGTCAGCAGTGGGCGTACCAGCCCCAACCTGGTCCAGGCGGAGTGGAGCTGATACTAGTGTGTAAGGGCCATATGTGTGAGGCTTAATCTGCTATCGGTTGTAACTGAAAAAAAAAACATGCACGTCTCTCAAAACATCACATGAAAGTAGTGGAACAATGTTTTGCACCAAATGCAAATTCATGGTGGAATATAGACCAAACAAGAACTTTTTCAACTGCAAAACATACGGGGAGAGTGGCTGAAAAGCAAGGACCACAAATGTGACAAGTTACCATGATGAAGGCTGTGGCAGCCACCTCAGTTGAAAGAGGAAGAAACAAGGTGAGTTTAATGTCCACATTAGGACAATGCAAGAAATGTATATTTAAAAAGTCAGTCATTGAGACTTGACTTTGTTTTTATTTAAATTTAGGATGTCATCTTAAAAACGTTTTTGAAAATGTTATTTCCACTTTAAATATTAGCAAATCGGATATCCTGTCTTCATGGGACTTTCAATTTCTTTTGTAATAAATTGCTGCAAAATGTTAAAGAGCAAGTCACTCCAAATCGACATTTTATTTGCTGATAAACTATATAAATGAGTGTCTGATCGTGCTGCAGACACGTTTAGAAAATAATTCGGCACTGTAGTGCATCTTAGTTAAATTTTTAATATTCTGCCTAAAACTGTCAGTGTTGCACCGTCGTCAGGTGAAAACTCAACACTGCATTTGAATTTAAATCTGCCGTCGCTATTGGCTAAGAGGTACACTATGATGTTAGATGCTACATAATGATGTCACAATGTCGTGAGTGTGTGTATTTGTTAGCGGCTCCACCCTCTCGGTCTGCTAGGCAACAGCATTTGTTTCATTTTTCAAACAGGAAGTGGGAGTTGAGTAAGAATCTGGTAGGGGGTGACTTGCTCTTTAAGCTTCAAATCTTTTAAAACTTTTACTGCAGCTTTTTCAAAAAGGCAGCATAAAAATAGTCATTTTTGCCACAACAATAAAAATAACCGTAGCAACATCCAGGGGGACTAATATGTGCTCTAAATGACTGTCCGTTACTACTTTCTGAAACTGTATTTATGCTAAAATGCCGCTTTTGAGTTTCCAACAGTTGATGGATGTGGCAGCCATATTGAAGGTGACTGACTTTAAAAGGTTTACAGCAATAGGCGTATATTTAGTGATTACTTCATGAGAGTTTCCAGTGGTCCATGGAACATTTTGCCAAGACACTTGCAGGGTTGACTTCCAACATTTTTACAAATATTAAAAATAAACAAATTGTATGATCAGTTAGTGCTTCATGTGTTGGGGATGAAATATTGGTTAATTAAATTTCACTCAGTCTGTAAAAATGACTGACTTATGGCCATTTTTGTTCCAGCTTATGTTGGTTAGTTGTGCTGGTCATGTTATAGCAGGTTAACTCCATACTTAATAACTGTAAATATACATCCAACAAATAATTTCTGAAAGTTTGATTAAAATCTGTCCAGAGGTTCATGAGATACTGAACTAAAGCACACACGCATGCACAGATTATAAACACCATCACCTACTATTTGACTTTCAGCAGCAGGCAACTATATATTTACAAGAAACACACTAAAATTCCCTTTAATCGACAGGTGTACCTAGTTCTAAGTCTGTGCATCAGTTTTCAAAGAGTGTTTGTTATAGCCTCACCCTCGGATCATGGCAAATGATTCATCACTGGAGAAATAGGCAGCCCCTGGCAGCACAGTTACAGTCTCCTTCCCTGAGGAATGGGAACATAAAAGCACTGGTTTTAATTTGTCAGAGCAGTAAATCTAACAGCTCAGGAGACATGTAAGAGAAACAAGGTTGACGCGTAAAAAGCAGGACAAGGAAAATAGATACACGACTCTACAGTAGAGGTGAATAGTTGAGATTTCAAAAGAACTTGTATTAAAAACGTTTCAGATTAAAATCCAGGGAATACATCTGTGTAAATGCATCAAAAAGTAGACCTATTTAATAGGGATGTTTTGATCACGTTTTTATTTATTTATTTTTGCTACTATTCCAATTCCAAGTCATTTGATTTCAAGTATCTGCCTATCCCAAGTCCCGATCCGATACGTTTCAGGAAAGCATTATGATTAGAAGTTAAATTTCAGTTTCACTTGTTTAGGAGGTAAACTGATTAAAAATGTGTTTATACTATGAAGGTATTTAAAAATAGCAGTGTTGCTTATTTCAAGTCGTTTAATCCCTCAATATACAGCTGCGAGCAATGCGTGTTCCCATGAGGGAGCAAGCAGGCGGAGCCTCGTCTGGCAGGCTAACTTTTCCCTGCATGACACCTGCAGCTACCGCGCAGCTCCGGTGCTGCAGGAGACTTAGAAACCTTGACGTTTATTGTTATTGTATTTTTTTAAATTTTTTTAAAATAAAGTTTCAAGTATCAGGCGTGACATTAAAAGCAGACGCTTTGATGCTCCACCTGAGAGTAAATCTGTAAGGCTTGTTACCAGCATTCAGACATCAATTCTGTTTGCTTCACAGCCAGACAGGACACGGTAAAAATAAATAAATATCTGTTGGCAATTTCTCTTTGTTTGTTAGCGTATCTTTGTCTGATGGCTGGCTCTGTGTTCTTGTCTGAGTCTGCTGTGAACTGGGACTTTCAGTGGCAAACTGGGAATTAATCTAGGGTTGTCACGGTAACCGGTGTAGCGGTAAACCCCGGTAAAAAAGTTGACCATAATAATAACCATCTTGTTTTTAAAAAAAAACTATAGTATCTCGGTGGGTTACCGTTGCTGAGGTGTAGGCGCGGTGACCCTTACCAGCCACCGTATCATCAGCTGAAGTTGCCAGCGGCACATGCGCACTTTGTTGTTTACAACCAAAACTTTCTTGAAGCTAAAGCTGAAATAATGGCCAAAGGAGGAGACGGCAGCGCTCAGGACATTTATTATCCCTCAAAGAAGACAAAGTGGGAAGTACGGGCATTGAAGAATGCCGAGGGACAGTTGATAGAAGACGGCTATCCTGTTTGCAGCACGTGCAGAAAAAGTGTCTGTGAAAGGCAGCAACGCTTCAAATCTCATGACATGTGGGTGACCATCACCCACAACTCTACAGTCAACGCAAGGCAAACTAACGTTAGCGTTTTAGCTAAAATGCGTGATCAGAGGATTTGGGTTGAAGGAAAAAGCAACGAGTCGCTATATAAAGCAGCCGCAGCGCCGCTACCTGCATATAAACCGTGTCGCGGACACCCCCATGTTGAAATGATGCTATGCATTACGGGGCTCCCAGGGGCAGATAAGAGTTGGTCTTTCTCCGAGAATAATTATGAATTTATGACATTTTCCCACATCTGCAAAGCTCACTGGAAGGACAAAAACCGAGGACAATATTTTCCTGATATAGGGTTTATTACTCAAGTAAGGGTAAAAAAGTATCTGATTAGAAGGCTCCTTGAGTACTGAGTACCATCTGATCTAATATTTTTAAAATGATGACATCAAACAGACAAAAAATAAGAAGTTATGGGCAAATATTGGTATTGTAAAGACTAAAGGGAAAAAATGTAAACAAATAAACAACATAATTACAAAATAACACATTTTAGGCTAAATTTAGACACAAACTGAGGACAAAATTTCCTGACATACAAGGTTTATTTAATTGTGTGAAAATGTAGCATGTTTAAAAAAATACCGCGGTAATACCGAAAACCGTGGTAATTTTGGTCACAATAACCGTGAGGTTAAATTTTCACACCGTGACAACCCTAATGGAGACCAGTGGTTAGCCTTGTTGACGGCTGAATGGAAAAGCTGAAAGTGAAATTTATTCATTTGAAGGCAGCAAATCATGGAGCTCTATCCTTTCCAGCATGTTGAATGCCCAGTATGCTCACATTACAGGTGGCTGTTGCTGTGCCTTCACTGTCCGGTTTAAAATACCACCAAGCTGAAGACATTTTTAGCTCTCCTGAGGAGACACGTCTCAATTCTTGCCTGCTGTAAACTGTGTGACGTTACTTTACTGTTTTCATACAAGAAACAAATAATATTCATGTAGAGCAACTTATTGAAATGATAAACTAAGCCATTTTTTTTCCATTTGAAAATCTCTATCTCAGGATTAATTGAAATTATCATAGTTGTTGCATTAAAAGGTTAAATTGGGTATTTTCCTCCTGATCCCGACCCTTTTAAAATCATGTGAACGGGTCCAGTTTCCGATTACGTGATCAGATCGGAGCATCCCTAATATTTAATCTGCAAACTTCACCCATCTATAAATTTGCTCAGATTTAAAAGTCTTTATTCAAACATGTGGTTTTGGCGGGGCGGAGTGATCAGGATGACCCTCACCAGCGTTAATCAGGTCTGCATCCACTTCATTCTCAGCAGGGTACGGCCCCTAACCAAACAGAAATCAAACGTGAGTGTGCACACAGCCCTGTAGCTCTACATCCACTCACACTTTTCACTCATCCTGACCAGCCGTGATCTTTCAAGGGAGACACAGAAACAATCACATTTCTCTGATTAGATGAGACATTGATTTTTCTCTGTGTTCAACAAAGAGAGCAATCCTTGGACAAAGAGGAGAGGAGAAGAGAAAAGTGAGAGCAGCACCTCTGCTGGAAATAGGTTTTATAATTAAACAAATCTGAGGCCATTGAAAATGAATGAATGAATGAATGAATGAATAACATAGCATAGACGCCTACATCCTCCTGTCAACAGACGTGATTGGAGAGTCATCCCACTGCAGCTTCAGCTGCCTTTGTTAAAAAGGCTCAGGTAGAAAATTATGATAGTGAGAATTTAAACGGAGGAAAAATTGTCAAACTGCCACAATCTCTTATATAATAAACCTAGAAGATTTTAAATTAGGGGCCCTACTAGCACTGATACAACCCCAACGAATGGCTATGCAATTTGCCTTGTGCTCAAAGCACAGTGTGGCTTAGAAACTCTCAACGCTGTCAGAATGGTTGTCTGTGCTCCTCGAAGGCAAAAGCAGTGAAGAAAAGTCTTACCAGTCCCAAAATTCCATTTTCACTTTGGAGATGTACAGTGATGTCTGGCTTTATGAAGTTGCTGGCCAGCATTGGGATACCAATACCAAGGTTAGCTGGGATTTTCTTTAGTTAAAAACAAAAACGTAAGTGAAGTCACATCTGCAAACTTGGGGGAAATACTGTGGTTAAAGCTGCAAATTTCAAAAACAAATTTGCTTAAAACACTTTTTCCATGCCTCTTAACAACGTTCTAACATAGTAGAGCTATAAAAATATTGTGGAGATTTAAAAAAAGTATAAAGTGGTTCTGTCGCATTTGTCTACAAACCTCCACCAATAACACATTTTGGACCAAAAGCACCTATTGGACCATCCGGTTGTTAGCAGGGTGTCTGCAGGTTTAAGGGAGCCAAATTTAAGACTTTTTAAGACCTTTTTCAAGGCCACTTTGACCAAATGTAAGCTATTTTTTTAATTAAATTTAAACTTAACTGGTGCTAACCACATCGCGAACGTGGGATTAGCCATCCAGTTACCATTAAACTTGCACTTCCCCACGGCACAAGCTCCCACACATGGGATCATCTAATAATAGCCCCCTTTCACAACCAACTGAATGTGTACGGTTCTGCTTACGCCAATATCATACACAAGAAATGCTGAACACTAACTAGAGATTCACGAAAATTTTATAGAAATAAAAGAATCTTGTTTAGTGGGCCTTTGGTAATTTAAGACTTTAAGAAACTGTATTTAAGGATTATTTGTCATTTTTAAAGATTTTTAAGGCCTTAAATTTTGAAAAGCAAATTTAAGACTTTTTAAGACTTTTTAAGGACCCGCGGATACCCTGTGTTAGTCTTGCCGAACTTGCCGCATTTCCTTGGGTCCTTCATTCATTACGCGCTCACATATTTAGCAACAAAACAACACTGGTGTGGGAGGTTCCTGTTTATGTTTTATTTACTTGGCAGACACTTTTATCCAAAGCAATTTTTAACCTATAGGGCATGTTGTGATGTGTGGGGGAAACCGGAGTACCCGGAGGAAACCCACGCATGCACGGAGAGAACATGCAACTTCACGCAGAAAGGCTGCAGCAGAGTTTTAAACCTGCAACCTTCCTGCTGCGAGGCAACAGTGCTATCGACTGTGCCACCATGCAGCTCGATAATACCAAAGAAGGAGAAACAAGCGGCTGCTACCACTTCAACTTTAGGATAAACTACCAGAGTCCCAAAAAGAAAAACACCATTTGAAGTCACGGACAACAAAAGACATTTGGGTGAAGAAAACTAAAACTGGTGGCGCACTCTAGATTCCTCCAGCAACGTACGCGGGTTTATGGTTCTGGCATAAGCATCTCAGGGAAGATACTCGAGGGAAGAGGTGAGTTTTCCATGACCGTGTTTGCATTCAAAATCTAGCTTGTCCTGTAGATTTGCCATCTTTAAGAGGTGTCTGCAGCTTATATAATGTATACAGCTTATATAATGTATACAATCCTATGCATGGGGTTCAAAACCGCACCCTTGTACATTGACAGTGTTGCAATCATATTATCAAGAAGGACCGGTGCATAAACTGACATAAATGTATGTTTCCAAAATACCCCAAAATGTGACGCTAGGTGAGAAAGGGGATTGCGTTTGTCTGAAATGTGGTAATCAAAACCCATACACTTAGATTCTACCACAGCTTTCATGAGGAGGAACAAACGCTATGACTTGTTCATGTAAATGCGAAACGTTTACAGAATCTGTGCATAAATTTCTTCTGCAATCAACTGGTGCAAAGACTATAATTATTCAAATAAGGTTGGTCATGGCACAGTGTTGCTTCTCCTGCGACTCCAGGCCTGGTTTCACTTGCTGTAATTAAAAAGGATGCAACGGAGAACAAATGTATCTGACTTTGCAATTTGCTTATTAAATGTATTCTCGTTAAAGGATACCATACATCCCATCTTCGAACTCCAGAGCAGCCCTGCGGATGATTCTTTCCCGAACAACGTCTGAATCCTTCTTTGGCTTTGGCTTCTCTTCTTGTCCTTTTCTTACTGTGCGTTTCTGGAAGGATAAAGAGAGTGGCGACAAGAAACAAAGAGATAGCATCTTGGGAGTCTATTTCTGACTGAGTGCAAGGGCACATAGATAAAACGTCGACTGTGTGCTTCTATACAATAAAGCCCTGCCACAGTACTTCTTTGTGAGGATTGATTTTTTTAAAGAGCTAATTTTAAAGTAAGAAATCGCAAAAAAACTAAGTGTCGTCTATGTGCAACCTCTTGACTTAGGTGAGATCTGACAATATTTGTTGATTTATGATCCGTTATCAGGGACCACACAAGAACATTATTCTCATAGGAGGTTTATCGTGCAATGTTATGATAAAGTGAACCAACTGGTTGTAAATATGTCAGACCTGCTTAAAACCAGCAAAAACACAATAAGGAAGTTGGGTTGATATCAATAGGATCAAATACCCCCTTGATGCCTCCTCGATAGTTTTTGCTTCATACCTCAATCCTTTTCTCATAGCTGTTTCCCTGAACAATCCTGTGGACATAGATACTTGGTATGTGGATGTCCTCTGCAGCAAATGTCCCAATGTCCACCACCTCTTCCACCTATAGGAGAGAGAAAAAGATGAACACTATCTTCACCCTAAAAGTGTCCCTCGATCCATGAGATGGAACGCTCTGATAATAAGGCTGTGCGTTGATGGAATTGGAAATAATCCCTTCTCACTCAGATAAGAAATTCAACAAGATAACAAAAGAAAAAAAAATAAATTCACCCAATACCCAAGAGTTCAGTTGCTAGCCAACACAAACAACTAATCAGTCAATCAAGTAGTAGCAAATCAATGCATTTAGTCATCTGGTGAGAAAAACGTGCTGAAGGTCAAACTGAGCTTTAGAAGGAAGAAGAAGGAAGATTTGAGGGACTTTGAATCCGGCTCGCTTGTTGGTGCCGGAAGGGCTGGTTTAAATATTTCAGATGCTGTTGATCTACAGGGATTTTCACCTACAACTATCTCTAGAGTGTACAGAGAATGGTCTGAAGAAGAAAAAAAAATCTGTAAATGTGGATGAAAATGTCTTGCTGATTTAAGAGATGAATGGGTAGACTGGTTTTTGATCGGGCATGCCCAAAGTGCAGCCCTGGGTCCCTCAGAGCAATTTTGTGCAGCCCCCAATCACATTTCTAAGATTAATTATTTCCGCCAGCAGGCTTTTGTGATAGATCGACACCATCCATTATTTTTTATTTTCAGAGTTTTACTAAAATGCCTATTTTGGACCTACTTTGATGAGTAAAAAATAAATAAATTAATTAATGACACTAAATATTTATCCAAATTTACCCAAGAATAAAGAGCGAACCAAGGCAGCGGAAGAGTTGCTTTGCTGTTAGCCAATCAGACGCCAACATTTTTATATCAGCTCACATAATCAACAAAGAACTGCAGATTACCATCTCTAAATGTACAATAATGCTTAAGTAGACGAATTATATGAGCAGAAGACAACACTGAGACTCCTGTCAGCTAAGAACATGAAACTGAGGCTACGATCCAAACAAGACCACCAGAACCAGACCATTTGTGATTAGAAACATGTTTCCTGGTCTGACAAGTCTTGATTTCAGCTGCTACATTCACATGGTCGGGTCAGAATTTGGTGTTTAAACTGGTTCAAGGATCAAAGGCAAAAGAAAGTGAAAAGTACCAGAGAGAAAGTTTCAATATATACAGGCGAAACTCAAAAAATGTGTACATCAACTTAAAAGGTGAACATAATATATGAGATAGACATGCAAAGTCAGATATTTTAAGCCTTTATATTTCATAATTGTGATGATTATGAAAACCCCACAATCAAAACTTCAAACAATTAGAATATTGTGAAAAGGTCCAATAAGTGTCACACTCTAAGCAGCTAATTAATCCAAAACACCTGCAAAGGGTTCTTGGTCCTTTAGATGGTCTCTCAGTCTAAGATGGATTACTGAAAAAAAGGACTTTTTTCACCATATTCTCATTTTTCAGGTTTCAACTGTAGATGACCAAAACATTAATCTTTACAGTAGACATGTCCTTAAAACTTTACATTTTCTAAAACTTCATCATCTGGTAAAAAATAAAGTACTATACATTCTGTTCTTTAGGACAAAAGTGCATCACCACCAGCAAAGGAATGTGCAAACGAGATTATTTCTGTCTGACTAACAGAGCACAGATGGAAATGGTTATTGATTTAAACACAGTTGGAGCAACACGACTGGCACACAAATCCCACAAGAAACACACCTGCTCTCCTCTCCTTAGGTAACATTTACAATAAAGCGAGCCTCCAGCCTACACTTCTACAGGTGATCAGGAGGAGTTGTGCAGCTTGTGTGGGCGCCGCTAAATTTCGCAGCCCAGTTTTAGTCTGCTCCGTGTCTTACAAGGCTCAGTAGTACAATAAAAGCATGTGATCCTTGACATGCAGAAATTACCTTGCAGGAAGCTGAGAGGAGCTGGCAATGAGAAGTCTTAAGAGAATAGATTTTATTTTATGACAGTACACTTTGATAGAAACTTTGCAGTTTTTATGTTTTTTGACGATCCGTCCGAAGGAAAAGTAAGTGGCATCATAATATTTAAGAAGCAAACAAGTGAAAGGTAAGATGTTTCTGGTGACTGAAAGAGGATTTAACGTGCAGCAACACAACTGTCCACCCTCACTTCTACATCCCCGTGCTTTCCTTCCTGTGTGGATCACTGGGTAACCTACTTATTCCATTTACATGAGGGGCAGCCGTTCAGAGCAAATTGAATTGAATATATCCTTATCTTTTCTTCCTTCAGCACTCAGCGCTGACTGAGAGGAGTCAATGGCCAGAAGTGGATCCTGTCTCCGTTGTCATGGATACACAGGCTCCGGTCTTTTGTGAGATAAGGCCACCCGTGACCGTAAAGTGATTTTGGAACCGATTTCATGGGCCTTTTAGTTGGTTCGTAGTAAATTTCTGATCCTGTACATGAGGCCTAGCAGGAGGAGATTGGATGCAGGTGAGACTAACACAATAATGAGACTGGGCGAAAGTACGATAATTATTAGCACACTGGACACAGTTGCTGCCATTAATTTCAAGCCTCAACATGAGAGGACTTTAATAAAAATGTTCATGTCAAACCTGGTCTCTTTATCCAATCCAATCCAATTTTATTTATAAAGCACATTCACAAGGCATTACAACCAAACAAGGCGCTGTACACTAAAAATGTTAGTTAATTAAACCGGCGTTATACAAACATGTCGAACACAGATAAAAGATAAAAAGGAAATACGACAAAATTCCCAAAACTAACAGCTAAAAATCAATAAGACACAGGGAGAATAAAAAATTAGAAAAACATTTTAAAAAAGAACCTCAATAGTACGGAAGTTGATAATTGTGAAGTCCATTTTTAAACAGTGCAGATGTAAGTGAGGTTCATAATTATGTTGTATAAGCTAGGTTGAAGTAGTGAGTTTTCAGGCGTGATTTAAAAATGCTAGCTGTTGGTGCTAGCCTCACTAGCAGTGGTAATGCGTTCCACAGCTTCGGTGCACAGACAGAGAAAGCCCTTTCTCCACGGCTTTTTAAACGAGCATTCGGAACAGCTAGGAGGAGCTTATCTTCAGACTAAAGATCTTCTTTAGTGAGAACACTGTAAACGGTTAGCCCATCAAAATCCACATACAGAAATCAGCACCTGAGATGGGTTTCTTCACGTTGTTTTGTTGGTTCCTAACAAACAGGCAAACACCTTGGATTTTGCTCCGTTGTCAATTAGCCTTCTAAAGCTAAGTTGCAGCACAATAACAAGCTCATACAATTTAAATGTGTCGTGCAGATAAAAAGCCTCAACTCCTTTCATCTACGTGATGAATCCCGACTGCACGGAAGCTTCAACGGACGAGGAAGAATAAAGCATTAACATAAAATAAATTTAAAAAACATAAAAATGCGCACAAGACAAGCACGCCTACAAATGAGCAGGTGTGTGAAGCAAGTAAACAAGCACATGCATCGACATTGATATTCTTGCATCTGTAGACCGATTTTCACATCAATGAGAGCAGAGCGAGGCATGAAGCGAGCTGGCAGAGGGACAGAGGGAATCAAAGCACCCTGCGGGGCCACAGAGAGAGGTTTTTCGAGAGGGTGTGCTTTTTTGGGCCGTGAGCTTCGTCAAATCTTGTTAATCTCAAACTGATCTGTTCACAATGCAACCAAATCCTTGGAATAAACTAGCAACAATGCCTTCCACGATGCAAGAAGCATCCAGCTCCCACCAGAAATATTTTGACAGTCAAATCTGAACTGTGCAATGCTTACGGAAGAAATGGTATTCCATTTTATTGACAGGTAATGCCATCACAAAAATCAATAATTGACGGATGAAGAGCATTGGTGGACTTTTTGAGAAGACAACTTACATTGACTTAAAGCTCTGTGGGTAGAAGCTATTCACCTGAGCGGATTGCTGAGCAGATGGCTGGAGGACAGCAGGTCACCATACTAACAAATTACCCACTTCAAGCCAAATTCATTACACTGTACAAAATTCTGTCAGGTATAAATGTTAGTACTAAAATAGTTATCTAATTAATCAGAGGATTTGTAATCAATCTTGATTAATTATGTTTTAATTGTTCAAGTTAATTTGCCTCCAAGCAATTTTTAAAAGTAAAATAATTTTAGCGAGGCACAAATAACATTACCACACATTAGTGACTATATATAAATGTAACCGTTAGGTCTATTGGTTACTTTGGTCTTGCTGTAAAGGTAATTGGGCTAGTTGATCGATCGATCGATGGATCGATCCATCCATCCATTTTCATCCGCTTATCCTTATAGTCTAAGGAGAGAGGCCCAGACTTCCCTCTCCCCAGCCACTTGGGCCTGCTCCTCCGGGGGAATCCCAAGTCGTTCCCTGGCCAGGTGAGAGACTTAGTTCCTCCACCGTGTCCTGGGTCTACCTTTAGGTCTCCTCCCGGTTGGACGTGCCCGGAAAACCTCACCAGGGAGGCGTCCAGGAGGCATCCTTACCAGATGCCCGAGCCACCTCATCTGGCTCCTCTCAATGTGGAGGAGTAGCGGGTCTACTCCGAGCCCCTCCCGAATGACTGAGCTTCTCACCCTATCTCTAAGGGAGAGCCCAGCCACTCTTCGGAGAAAACTCATTTTGGCCGCTTGTATCCGCAATCTCGTTCTTTCGGTCACTACCCAACGCTCATGACCACAGGTGAGGGTAGGAACGTAGCTCAACCGGTAAATCGAGAGCTTCGCCTTCTGACTCAGCTCTCTCTTCACCACGACAGACCGGTACATCGCCCGCATCACTGCATGACATGAACATCACCAACCTACACACATCTTTTCATTTTTTTATTATCAAACGTATTGACATGGAAAAAATTATACCAGTTTGGAGTGCAAAATTTCGATAATTAGACATTTTCGATTTATTGCCCAGCCCTAAAAAGTAACTACTGAGGGATTTGTTGGGATGTGTAAATATTAATACACATAATTGACGAAGTGTACATAAACAAGGAACATTGTAAATGTTGTGTACTGAACTGAA